ACAAAATCTGGCAGTTGAGTTAAATAGACCAAAATTCAGAACATTCTTGATGGCTTGTTCTAACAATAAACTTTGCTGAATGTTCCAGTTAAAATAATCAAGATGTTTGGGTATTGCTTTAACATTTTTCGTACTGAGTTTTAAAAATATTTCAGAAGCTGAGGAAAAGAAGGAACAAAAAAAGATACAAGGATTAAATAACAAGTTCGTGACAGTATCCGGATATTTGTTTTTTCACCTCCATTCATAATTGAAATCACATTTCATTGTGTTGCAGGTGCCATGCTGTATCACTGCTCTAATCTGCTGATCCTGTTGCACTTCACACTTTCAGGGTCAGGTCTAGTCTCCTGTTGATGCCCGTGGGCTCCTCTCATTAACATTAATGGCGGGTAGGCACGCACATCAGTGGGAGAATTAAATGGATGTTTAGCTGTTACTGAGAATTCAGCTTCAGGAGGAAGTCAGTCTGTCTTACAAGTGACAAGACTTGTAAAGACTGCTTTAAACAAGACAGCTTTTTTTCCTCCAGAAAAGTGTGATGAATAAGTAAAGAGCTCAATACAACTCTCATTTAAATGAAAGGGCATTCTGCAGTTAGTTTCAAGTTGGAACAGCTCAAGCCAAAAGGCTTACCCTCAAACCTCATTCTCTGATTTTACTGAAGACATTTTTTTAGAACTTGCATGTGTAAGAGCGATCTGTATCCAAATTCCTACATTAAAATGTTTCTTTCAAAGAAAAAAAAAAGTTTTCTTCTTCTGCTTCACTGTATTTAAACTGATGGTTTGCATTTCAGAAATCTAGGGAGTTGGACAGGTCACAGAAATTTTGCACCAGTATGTTACTGTAAGAGGTGCAGAATGCCCTTGACTTCTGCGGTCCAGTGACTGCCACAGACAGCTTTTCAGGGTGACGGGGAGTTTGCAGGAGCAAGTCATTAGGGAGAAAAGAGAATGAAACGGTAACACAAACAAATTTTAGACAACAAATTGCTCCAAAGGTGTGAAAAAATGGGAAGGTACTGATGCTGGCACTGCATCTGCCATCAGGAACGGCTGCAAAAATTTACAGCTGAAAATATCTCCTACAGTAGATGTCATAAAATCTGTTTTCAGCTCAAGTATTCTCTTGATAAACAATATTCAGCTCCAGTAGAAGCACAAACATTCATTCCAAGGGCTCATCATATTTTGAAATCTAATTATTAATGAAGTTAAAGGATTTTAATTAGATTTAGAAATTATGTCATATTTCTCAAGTAGCAGAACTTACACCTTACGTAACCTCTGCCATTGCAATCAGACCTCACTCTGTGGTTATGACATAGATGTCTTAAGCCCTGAGCACAAAGCAGCACCACAGGGACCAAGCTTTGAATCTTAACCAGTACTATCCTCCTTCCCCGTGCCGCCTGGCTGAACCGGGAACAGAAGCACGGCACTGCTGACTCTTTGCCTCCACGTACGTGGGAGACAGCCACGTCCTGCAGAAGCTGTACGACCTCTCATCCTTCTGCGCAGTGATTTCACGCTTGCCTGTACTGCCCTTCACAATCTTGCCCTTAGCACAGAAAGGAACTAACCAGCTTTGACATACTTATAATACTTTAAAAACACTTATGTGAAATATTCTAAACATTAAAGCAAATAGATCATATGCAGAAAGGATGCAATATTTTCAAAAACAGAATCTGTAAGAATGTCACTGTACTATAATTAAGGCTACACCGACAGGGAACAGATTCTATTCAAGAATTGTAATCTCTACATGGTATATTGGCACACAGAAAAGTAATTAAAGAATTTGATAAACTTTTCCAAGTACTTACTGTACTTTCAATCAAAAAGGTAAACAAGAAAAAGCTATGAAAAAAACCCACAGACAACTCTGAGAAAAACACAAATGCCTCTAATTTGTTTCTGATACTTTGTTCTTCAGAAATTCTGTTCCATGCTTAAGACCTAACTGAATGCACAAAAACATGCAGTATGTAAAAGCCCTTGTGCAGGGTTTAAAAAAACCCAGTATCTAACGGCAGATTTCAAACAAAAAAGTATAGGTTTGCATAAAGCAATAAGAAAAACAAAATGACAAATCGTAAGAATGGGATCTAGGAAGAAAAAGCAACATGATAGCTATTGATACTGTAACTAATTCATAAAAATCCCAGAGCGAATCCAATTATTGGTGTGACTGGTTTTGCATGGCAAATCCGTGTTCTACTGTCTCAAAATTAAACATTCAGTTCCATTCCTTATACATTCAGTTCCCAGCCTTTGCACAGTATAAAACCAAGTAAACCAAACCTCCTTCTGTGAAGCACGGACTGGACCAGATACCTTGGGAAAAGTCACATGATTCTTCTTCCCAAATGTGCCCAACACAGACTACCATAAATCTCTGCTGTGTCTAAATTAAGATTTCAGTGTCTTAGAAATCTGAACAGTTAGATATAAATCCGAAACAATGCAATCTACAAACAGAAACCCAAGTTACGACACAGTTTAGTTTAGTTTGGTTCTGCAAGACGTTATTGCTGCGCCTTCCAAACTGACTTCTTCATTTGTTCAATGGTGATGTTAAGTGTATTCTCCACTGGAATTAATTTGCTCAGTTCTTGCTGTTAGATACTGTACATTATTTTATAAAGCAAAACCTGTACAATGAGACAACCATCAAGGAGACAACTTTCAGCTTTAGGAAAGAGAATCCAAATATCCACAAACAGAATGAGTAAAAACACTTCCACATCCATTGAAAAACTGCTTTTGATCAGCTTCTAAGTCAGTGTTTCTATTATTTGGAAAGCTGAAAGGATTGGGAAAATCTGAGTGTTTTCCTTATGCATATAAAATTAATGCTGATTTTTTTATTAAATTCTACACTCAACATTACATTTCACGAACTGAGCAACAAAAAGGACTGAAAGAGACAACTTGTATTGCACTACTGCAAGACTATTCCTTTTTATAGAAAGTTTTTGCATTATTTGTATTTAGTAAATAAAGCTTATGTAAATGAAGAAGCAGCACAATACCAGAAAAAAAAAAAAAAGAAAAAAAAAAGGAAAGGCCAGTAATAATGTTTTAAATCTTTAAATGAATAAAAACTGAAAGCCTGGCTCTGCAAATAAACCACTCAAAAGGCACCAAATAAACCAAGAAGTGGTAATTACAATATCCTTTAAAAAGGACTTAATGAAATTGTTCAGTAGTGTGAGAATTTGAGAACCATGTGAAGTATCTTTATTATAGCATACTCACTGTCTTCAATCTCACTGTACTTGACAGTCTGTATACCCTAAAGCCAGGACTGTTCAAAGGTATTAGAAAGAAATTCAAGAGAAAAAAAACCATTTGTCCTAATGAGAACGCTTTAGGCTACCACTAATTCTCTCAACAAAATCCAAAACTTCACTCTTTTACCCACCAAGTGCTACAACAGCCAGTGAGGTCTCATATTTCCAAGACATCACCATCATTTCTAAGAAAAAACCTGCTTGCTTTCCATACCGCAACAATTTCAAGTAAACAAAACTGATAATTACAGTCAAAAAGAATATTTTAATTGGGGAGCTTTTTAAAAAATACGTTTACTCAATAATCCACAATTTCAGTAATATGAATTAGATTAATCAGTCAGTAAATTAGTATGATTCCAGTCACAGTATCTGGGAGAAATAGGAATCTCAGAAGCACTGGTATTTCCCTAATTTTGGTGGAAGTCATGAGTGTTTATCTGATGGCAAACTTTCTTGTGATACTGCCGCTTCTCAACTGTGTCGTCAGAAAGCTGTGTTTCCCAACGTGAACATAAGCAAAGCAAACTTCTATTCTGGGTGCGAACATTCATTCAATTGCTGGCAAATCAGTAGAAAAAAAATAACTTACTGATGTTCTCTTCTCCAAGAAGAAAGATAAAAACTCCTGGTCTGCTCTGTACTTCCAACAAACAGCACAGGGTAACCCCTAAAACAGCTCAGAAGAGACTCAAATGGATACCTATTTCAACCAAACCCACAGTACTTCACGTTCATTCAGAGTAGTTCAACTGGCACCACTTCCTTCACAGTCTTTCAACCTAACTTTCAACTGCTGACATTTTAAAGAAATCCTATCAATTTGCTTAACGAAAATATATTTTAGTAAAGTCGTGCTCTATGAGCTTCCTACATTGGAATACATGAATACAGGAAGTGCTTTCAACAGAAAGTTACATAGTTTTACAGTACAACCTGTCTAAGGAGATTTGGAAGGGACCAAACTAGTGATCTGGTCTCTTTGGATTAGGCAGAAGTACAGGCAAGAGGGAAAAACCCAATTTATGCCATATATAGAGCTCGTTCCTGTCACAGATTGAAGAAACATTATTTTGATGTCAAAGTTCACCTGATGCCCAAATGCTAGTATTTTTCAAACCAACTGCATATCAAAAAATGAAAACTTACTTGTACTAAGCTCCTGGAAATAAACTCAGTGTAAAACAACAGTATGATCATATTTGCTATACTACCAAGTGTTCTCCACTGGTGGGTTTTTTTGGTTTTTTTTTTCTCTATAGATCATTAACTTTTTCTCAAAGTGCAAATTATTGACCTTTAATCTGAATGCAGGCAGGTCAGAAGCTACAGTATTAGAGCAATACAAAAAGTACACAAGGAGGAGCTTACATTAATTTGGAGAACCTTACATAAAATGTTTCGGAATTGAAAACACAAAACAAACCCAAACAAATACAGCATCAGGTGGATGGGGGAGGGACCGCTAACATATCTGCATACAGCAAGGCTTCTCTGACACCAAGGAAGTGTCTGACACTAAGTGAAGACTGTATTTTAAATCCCACCATTTTGCATGTTGTGCATTCTTTACAAGGGAATGTTGACCTCAATTTTCGTTTTTTACTTCCACAACAAATCTGTTGACTGTGACCGGGAATGATCATCATCTTGAGAGACCAAACTCCCTTAAAACCATGACTGCGCTTTGTACCATCCATTACGATTCTAGTAAAGTATGCCATCTACATACTTGCTGTCCTTTAGATTCTTTCATTTCAGTCCAGTGATTGAGTTCATCTTCTCCTGAGCTGTTGAGCCCTAAGGAAACCCAGCCTATCATCTCTTTTCGTTTCATGCTGCGCTTATTATATACAGAGAGTATGAGCGTCACATCTGAAAGCTGAAACAGTGCCACTTGGAAAACGAAGGTTTCTTTGTATACTGGATTTGGCTGTCCTCGGCGGATTGAAGTTTTGCATTTGGACATCTCTTGCCCCATCGAGTTCAGCAGTGTTAACTTAACATATGTATCTACAAAATAAATCATATTTTGGAATGTCAGATATCTTAGAACTAAAGTTTTTGAGGGTAAGATAATTACAAGACACAAGGATATGGTGTATACCAGGCTCACTGAACACAGCTTAGTTTAGACACACAGAAAGATGACAAGTAAGCAAAATATTACAAACACACTAACAAATTAACTAGCTTCCGTACTATGTAAATGGGTTACGTTAAAGGTATACCTCACAACCCTCTTCCCATCAGCCCCCCTTATTTGTTCTAAACAAACTTAAATCGCATTAACACTTAGCAAGCTCCAACTAGGCACAACACCATAAAGCATACCACTGAATTTTCAGGGAGTAAGAGTAAACAAAGTGGAATGAAGGCAACTAATGAAAAGAAAAAAATAACGTTGATATGCAGGGATCATATCAAAACAGCCAGAATGAAATGGTTACGAATAATCTCTGCATGGATGTGGTTCTCACTTTGGGCTTTTCAATTTTCTTTAAAGACCAAAATGTAGCAAAGTGCATTCAAAGGTGGAAGTTTAGACAATTAAAGAAACCTTCTTAGTTCCTAGATTCACAAAGGAATACATTTAATACACCTTTAAAGAGAAATAAGTTTTTGCATAATTCAAGATGGCTGTTTAAAACACAGCTTGTACAGTGCACTTAGGAAGTACATTTAAGAAGCTGATGCAAGTAAATGTGGTTAGCACACACATTGGGTGTTAGTATTTGGGTGTAAACTCTTATTTTTAAAGCTCTATTTTCATTTGACTAGAATCACCAAGCCATGCTCCTGCAGAAGGATGCGCATTTCATAAAGTTAACTGATTTTAAGAAATATAAAACAATCTGGTGTTTCATTCTTTATTCCTGTCACATTCATGTTAATGAATAATATTATTAAAAGATTGGAGCTTATGTAAAAAGAAACACATTGAATATTTTCACTTTGCAGGTACACTGAAATCCCAACATCCATAATCAGAGATAATTGCAACTTTTGCATTAGAGTGTGCCACAAATAATAAACATATACTTTTATAAACCAATATGATAGGCAGCCATAGATAGCTTTACTGCTGGCAAGTTTTCTTTTGCATGAAAAAGACAACATCCAATTAGTTTCTACAGGAACTCACCTCGGATTATATAAACCTGTCCACCTATCAAGTGTTTTAGACAACAGAACAGTCCGTCTGACAACAGGGGGTGGAAAGCAGTAAAAGAAATAATGACCAGATGTCAATAGTTGGGTGAGAGAGGATCAAAGGTTAAAGTTTAAGAGGAAACATTATTCACTGGAGTGGAAGAACACAAAACCTTAGCAGCATAGATCAGAAAAAGGATTGAACAAAAGGATCGTTGGGTAAAATTTAATGAAATGAAAATTTTGTGCAGTTTTTGTGTGACAAAAATTACACCGCTTACATAGTGGGTTATCTTAGCGCTAATAGCTACTGGGTTCTAAAGCACACTCAACATAGAAAGTATCATGCAAACGATTAGGTTGCAGAAGATTGGGTAAAAATCACTGTATCCTTTTTAGCAACCTTAGGCTTTTTCATGCAAACTCCAGCATATTAAGAAAAACTGCACACAGTAATTATACTTCATATATTACAAGCAATAAAATGAAAAATTACTGAACTGAAAACTAAGCTGGCTTTGCCCTTAGCTTTTTTAGTTAGAGATATTTGATTGCAATACTTTTGTTCTTGAGTAGTGACGGACTTGGGCACGAGAATGACTCTGATCTAAAGTCTCTAAAACAGCTGAGGGACGCTTACATCTGAAATTCAACTATGGGTCTCTATTTAAAATGTAAAGATCTGACTTGTGATAATCTATGTATTTATGGATTTAATGTGTGTGTGCATGCATACTCTCACATGCATTTAATGTGCAAAAGCTCGTACCCTGTTTCAACAAAATTTTAAAAGATACTAAGAAGCATCTTTTCCTCAGACAAAATATTAACTGCCACCCAGAGAAACGAAGACACATTCTAACATCAACTGCTACTGCCTGCAGCATTTGGCCTATTTGCCTGTTTTCAGTTGCTAAATGAGTTACTATATAACATAAATACGCAGCAGAGCAGTATATACTCCTAAGAAGCAGAAATGTAGGACTCAATCCATATTTGCTGCAGAAGCATTTCACAAAAATTACATAGGTTCACAATCCCTAAACTACAGAAAGGATTGCATGTGGGAAGGAATAATTGCTTCCCTTCTATCATAGTTTCTATCATAGTTTCCCTTCTATTCATAGTTTCATAGGACCCAAATGAAAACTGACCTGCGCATGGACTTTGCAGCACTTCTCAGGAGTTTAGACCACTGATGGTCCAAACAACAAATTTGATCAGAGCATTTCACCTAAGGCAATATGTGCCTTAGTTCTCATATTGTGGAAACGATAGCACAGAGAGAGGCTGGTATGTGTCCGTGATGTACTTGTCAGGGAGTTAGGAAATGGCAGTGGTATGCACCTGGGTCCAGGAGTTTACAGGAAGGCGCTACCACTGCCGGAGGGGAGGGGGACGGCACAAAACAGCCCACAGGAGACATCTGGATCCTACAATATTCTGTGCACCGTCTTACCAGACCCAGAAAGTACATTAGTTTCCAGCTTTCTAGAAACAACAGAACTCCAAACGCACATTTGCCTAAACAGAACTGGACTATTATTATTATGAATATCATAACTTCCACCTATCCTTCACAGGGGATGACAAAAGGTAACACACAAGATCTTCCCTCCAAAAAGGTTAGACAGAACATGGTATTATAGGGCTATGTGTCATGTTCTATGCTGCTTTCTTGCAATCTGAAACAGATTTTTGACCCCAGTGACACACACAACTGTTAGCTAGACAGCATGGGCCCACAGAGCACATTTTGGGAATTAACATACCAGGGAATGAACATACCTGTCTTCAAAACAAGTACCGAACCCCCATCTAACTTGCAAATTCTAAATATTAAGAAAAACTTGGCTTTGTCCAGAGATTCCAGAAAGATAAGCATAAGCCATCTACTGTTTTTTGCTTTAAGGGAACACATGGTCCCATCTCTCCAGATCTCCTCTCCCGTTCATGCCTTCCCCCACCCCAGTGTCCTTGGGCTTCTTGGCTTTCCCCATCTACTTCTATGCTTTGCCTCCAAATAGGTGACTCTGGGACAGGTACCTAATTACATAAAATTATTAGAGATTCTTCTTTCGCCTTCCTTCTCTGGCCACGTTAATAAAGTCTGGTTCCATCAGTGTGAAAAGTATAGAGAAAGCAAAGCAGAGTAAGGCTGAGCCAAATGTAAGTAACGAATGGAATAAAACATGGGTCAAGAAAGAAAGAGGAGAGCATCAGTCTCAAGTTGTTTGGCTTATTTCCTAAAGTCTGAAGACAGTGTGAGATGTGCAAACCACTTATACAACGTTGGCAGCCTGCTATATAATCTAGTAGTTCCAGATTATCTGCTAGTGCCATATGAACCTGGGGATTAAGAAACAGAAAGAGAGGCTAAAACCTGAGCCTCCAGACAAAAATCAAAAGGAACAGGTAGGTATGTCTGGCTACAACTTATGTAAATCAGACTTGTCATCTAAAAAACAATAAAAAAAATTTTTAAAAAAAGTTCATTACTGAACTTTCTCAAGCTATGTCAAAGAATTAGAGACAGTAAAAACATTCTCTGTGTGTGACACACCATCTGACTCCAATGTAGAAGTATATAAAGTTCACAGATATTTCAGACAAACATATTTTTGAACAAACAGTTCAAGTCCTTTCCAATGGTGAACATTCCTTCTGCACGGTAAATATGCCAAAGGTCTCAATTTGTTTCTCCGTTGTCTTCACTGACATCCCCAAGTTACATATATTACTACCACATATACACAGGCACATAAGCAATTAAAGACTGCAGTATCAATCCCCCTAGGAACAGCAATAACTGTTGAGAGTGTTTATATTAATATTAGCTGGCATGTACTTTCTCTTTAAACACTAACTTTTTATTCTTGGCCTGTGATGTGAGGCATTAGTAATTTAGCAATTAATCATTATGATAAAGGTAATTTATTAGTCAGTCATCATGAAAAATTAAAACAGTCTTGTCAACTCAAAATTAATATTTTGAATTTCAGATTTTTGCTATTTCCCAACTGACTAAAAATATAAAACATGAAACACATTTAGTTGATGATTGCTCTATTTCATTTTGATTGGGTAAGACTAAATGATAGGATTGAAGTCCTTGCTACTGAAAGCCCCACCAGTACAGAAGCATTAGGATGAAAAAAGATTTTCACTCACTGGGTGGTCTGTTCGCTGCCAAGTTTTTGAAGTGGCTGCCTTTTATCACTTCTGCTGATAATCTTCCAGTTGTAGCATTATAAAGGAGGCCGACGAGGATTTCTGGAGCTGAGCCATGTACCAGAGACTGACAAGAGGAGGTACTTTCACTGCAGGACACTTCTGACATGCTCATTTGAGAGTCACAACCCTATAAAACAGATAAAAAGTTCAATGTATTTTACGGAATGATGTTACCGGGAAGTCAATTTTTAGGATAATGCATAGAAAATTAGGAAAGCAATTTACTGACAATAACAGAAGTTCCATCCAATCACCCAATAAGAAATGTCCATCCTTAATACATACTCAGTTCGCACATGTTAGAGGCAACAAAGACTAAAGCAGTCTGAAATTAAAATTATTCTTAATTTTGTGTTTCTGTTGCTTCGTAATTCAGGAGAAATAATAGCAGAAGATGAAGAGCAGCCTTTATGTTCCCTACTTACTTCAATTGCTAAGATAAGACCCGTAACATAATTTGTCAGCATCCTCCAGAACATTAAACCTTGGATCTTTTACTCTCCAAAAATGGAAAACACTAGTGGAACTTTGAAGATAATAAAATGCAGGAAATTCTTATTCATCCTTTGTAAAGGTTATTCTCTAGACTGAGAATTTATGAGTAGCAAAATAACACAACACATGCAAATAGAAAAATGCACTCTGCCTAGAATAAATTAGCTTACAAGGAATTTAATTGATCCAGCGATACAGAATTGCAATAGACCCTTTGTCTTGGGTGAGAAAGGAAGAATGCCATCCTAAAGCTTAGCAAGTGATGCCTTATTTCCACCTTGCAAGCTTCCAAAAAATTCAGATCTCTGATGCATTCTCACCACACGACATCTTTGATGGGAGCTTCTAATATTCGCTTTTATCATTTTAACCCCTCATTATTGGCCTTAAAAAAGGAAAAAAAAATTATACTTTCTTTACGCTGCCATGCTAATCATACCATAGTTGTTCCTACTTTCATTTCTTGCTTTCATGCACTGGCGCATAGACTTGTACCACTGAAAACAAGAAACTGGACAGAATCTAGCCAATGGAATGGCAATTTGCTTAGTAGCCGAGAAGAGACTTTTGAATTATCAGTACATTCCTTTATGATTCTCTCAGAAAAAACTGTAAATTGTATCCACAGATTTTTCAAGTATGGCTCGACTCATTTGGGAATCTGGCAGCACTCTTTCAAGGAGTCATCATGATTTTGTGAAGCTGATTCTTCCAGATTCAAGATGTCTCTATCATTTCCAGCAACAGCTCACATGGGCACAAGATCAGTCCTAAAACCTAAATAGTACAAATCTTCATCAAGATAAAAGTTAACTTTAAAAGCAAGTAACTTAATCTGACATATAAAGCCCAAATGCATTACAGAATCTCAAATTATAGAAAACGTGATACCTACAAGAAGAAATTCTGAACCTACAATATCCTTCATATTGACATTTTAACTAGGTCTTCTCCACAGAACATTTCCAAGAAGTCTGGCAGAAGTTTCAAGTAGCAATCCAGCTCCTCATTAATAAACATTCACTGTTGCTAGCAAAAAGTATTCTTACTACTAAAGAAGGACCTCAGCAAAATTCTCTGACTTCCATTCCCCAAGCTGCAAATTTGGAGTTTTAAATCTTTGGTTATTTCTCCAAAAGTTCTTTATTCAATTCCAAGAATAAATTTCAAATGGGTTGCAAATTGTAAATTGCTGAAAATGAATTACAAGTATACATTCATTCTCTGATTCTTGGCACTCGCAAAACATGAAACTTTTGATTCCTAACTTTAACAGTAGAATACAAAATGGAAAGTTTAAAAGAAAGATGACTTGATTCAGCAGTCACAGTATACACTGCACACTGGAAAGCCTCAGCCTGTCACAACTGCAGCTACTACTTTTCTGGTCTTTTAAAATTGTAACACATTATCCCTATGGTGCTTATTCATCTTATTGTTTTGTTGTGCCAGGAATTTAACAGTTAACTTGACCTTGTTCAAAGCTTAGGTCTCAAATTTGATTGTGATTATGTTGCAAGTCCACAAAAAAGACATAACCCAAAGCAAGCAGCTGGGTACCACTCCCTCCTAAACCCTCAAAGGGCTTTGACATCTGTACTGAGAGAAGGCGACTATAGCACTTTTTCCTAATTGTGACATACTTGTGCAGTTTACTGATGTTCTAACAGGGACTCAGTCTAAATCAGGTTATGACAGAGTTAAACTGATTACAATAGGTATCAGAATAATGTTTAGAATGTTAGAAATAGTAAATAAGTGATGACTGAGTAGGGATGAGTCCTGAGGTACCTTGAAAGGGAAGACAAGTAGCTTCTGCGTGATATAAGAAGGGGGAAAAGAACTGAAAAATGAAACAAGTGTGATATTACAAAGTTACATAAGGATGGGCTAGAAATACCATTCCTTTACAGCAGAATCCTGAGTGGATGTGTGAAGGACAAGACTGCGTTTATCAAGGCCAGAGAAAAGGATCTCGCCAGCTGAATGGCGGGATGAGAAGACCTAGGTGATACTTCAGACCTGTAAGTGGATGGAAATGCAACTAAGAGGCTGCACCTCAGGACTGTTGCACAGAAAGAACTGGCAGATGCAGCCTTGATGAAAATCTGGAGGGAGGGTCTAACTTAAATGTTTTGTTACAATATTTTCTAAAGCAAAATATTTTGTCTTTTGTTTGGAAACAGGTGGCAGGTTTGAAACAAACAAAAGCATGTTATTTAATCCTTAGTGTATAATAAACTTATGAATCTCCTTCCTACAAAATGTTGTGGTGACAGAAGTTTAAAGACATGAAAATAAAGCAACCAAATTGAAGAAACAATCCAAACAATACTTTGTTTTCCCTTTCACATAAAAAAAAGATTCCAACCAATTTCGTTTCACACTGACCCAAATGTATTTTAAAAAATACTCTGCTTTTCAGTTATTAACTGGAAAACCCTACTATAAAAGAAAGTGAGACGTTAAGAAGAAAAATAAAGCAGTGAGGTGTGAAGCAGATTAGAAGAGAGACTGATGTTACTGGGTAAAACCAGGGTTAAACAACATAAACCAAACTATAATTTCTGTGTTTATGATAAGGACAAAACCAGAGAATTTGGGGGCAACAAAGTAAAAGACATGAGAAAAAGGGGAAGGTGAGGTTGTATTTTGTCAGTTTTATTTTGAAAGAAAACAGAAAGATCCTATGAGAAAGAGAAGAAGAAACAGGAATCAGGGAAGATGAAGAGACAGCTGAGATCAACAGGGCTTAGATCAACAATTGAAGAAAGTCTTTTCATTGAAGGACCAGGTTAAAATCAGGGATACTAAGTACTATTAGACATCTCAAAAGTATTTTCTCCAGCACAGAGCTTATTGTTCACATTGTTTTAAGTAAGGTATTCCGTGATAATCGCATCTGTTGGTAAGTAACCTGACTTTGTATAAACTCCGTGAGCTGCACTAGAATTGAAAATAACAGTTTTTCAAGTCTTTGTTTAGAGGGTGTTTTCTGTTCACATAGTCAAAACTCAGGAAGAGTGCTAACAAACTCATCAAGAAAAAAGCAAGACAAGAAGTTACATTTTTACCTGCTCAAAATATAAGTTTCATGACCATGTGCCAAATCATAAAATATTGACGCTGAATATTCTAATTGGTACTACGTGAATATAAACTTAGCTACAATGAAGCTTTCATCTCATGACACCATCACAGTGCTACCAGATGCTTCTCATCTCCATAAAGATCTGCATTCAATCTATCTGTAGGCCAGTTTGATACTGTAGTTTCACTGTGGGAAACATAATATTTAGACCAAAAGTTACTATTTGTTTGAAATAATCTGTCTACGTAAGTTTATTTTGATAATTCTTCCCTCTCTTCCTCTATAAACACTGCGTGTATTTTAATAATGCAGGGGAAAGAAGGACTAAGGTTCTGTTATAGCAAAAGCTTTTCAAGGTCAGTAAAGCACCAGAATAGCCTAGTAAGAATTGCTGTAAAATCTTAACTGCAGCTTTTTAAAGACTTAGATGAACTGTCAAGGTATTGATAATCTGGCCACAGCGCAAGGTGCTGTCTCTTGAGGCTGTCTCCAGGATATTAATACTACATCTCTAACCTATTTTTGTCACTTTAGCCATCACAAAAACATATTATTAACAGTAAACACCAGCAAAAAACCCCCCATTAAAGTCTCTTCCAAATATTTAGTTCAAAGGTCTTATTACAGTAAATTAGAAATTTTCAGCTTTTCAATTTTATAACATAGAGCTTTGCGCAAAGGACCTAAACCTTTCCCATACACCACAGGGCAGTACTTACTACATACTCAGGTGGATTTCATTTGATCAACACCTAGAATAATTGCTGCTTTTCACTGAATTAAAGAGTAACATGTGTTATATTCTACAAAAACTTAATTACTAATTCTCCAAACTATTGTCCTTGATTACTTCTTTGCATATATTATCTAGGGAAGAAACATCACTTTTTAATAAATATATAATAAAAACATTCCCATTAAGTGGTATTTGTATTTCGCTTGTTCCTATTGTACAAACGTCAGCAATCAAAAAAAAGACGACTCTTTTTCCCCTCGTGCCAATGGAAGTGAACACGTCCAATGCATGACGTCAGACCTGAACCCCTAAGAAGTATGTTCAATAATCTTTTTCTCTGCTGACAACATAAGAGAATTCTGTATTTGCAACAATGATAATATATGTAAAATGTATTTATTTGTCTTCCTTCACCATAATTCCATGGAAACGGGATATTTGTTTCTTAAATATTCATCCCCTACTGTTGCTTTTCTATACCCTTAAGTTCTGCTTATAAATTCTGCTCTCCAGCCAACTGGAGTTAATCACAGGGGATAACGTGCCCATGCTCTTGAGGGCAGTTAGAAGTTCCTTCTCCGTACTGCACAGGTTAAAATCATGCCTCTGTAGTCTTATGAAACAAGAACATCTGATTCTCTTGGCTTTTCAAAATATACACAGGAAAGATGAAACTGTGCTGACAATCCTTCAGCAACAAAAATCTGATTCACAGCATGTTACTTGTCAAAATGTCTCTCTCAAATTTTAAATGTTAATGTTATACCACTAATCTCTTAAAGAACTTTTTTGCACATTACTTTCT